CACCGGAAGCGGTTGCCAGCCATCATTGCTCCCGATATGGATCCTGCTCCTATTCCTCGCCTATGCTGATGATTTCACATTAATTTCGCCTGCGTATGCAAATAGATTTTCAAATAAATGAAATTAATTTAATACGATATTCTGATTTGGTTTTTGCCAAATGCAAAATAAATGTATGTACATACAAATGTATTTTAGATTTATACTCGTATATTTTACTCCTCGTGCCAGTGTGCATCCCAACCGTAAATGCAACTGTTTGTGGAGGCTAGCATTAACTTAATTGCATTTAAATTGAAAATATTCTAGAGTGCATTTTGTGAGAGTTTTAATTAAAATAAAAATAAATAGTCAACAGCAAAATGGTTTGCATTTTACAGAGGGAACTCTTCAATCAATTGGCGTTGATAACAACTCGTTTGTGATATACTCTCCTATTTTCTGTGATGCTTCTAGATATTCATAAAATAGCTTCTACAGTCACACTCTTGAGCATGTCTTTCTTCTTCCGTTCATGGTTGTTTAGCTGGCCAAGCAGTCTCCCATTCATTCATCATTTTCTGGTCCTAATGAGTCACTCATGCCACTCTAAGGCCTCGTCGTTGTTGGCCTGTCAAAACACAATTTGATTATTAGGAGCGTTGGTGTTGTTGGTTTCGTCTGAAATTTCATCCAATTGAATGGGCTGCTGTTCCCCGATAAAGGTGTGTCGGGGCTGCCAATCGATAAGCCGCCGCCCCCTGCTCCGCCTGCACATCAGTCACTGTCACCCCACAACCAACCACAAATGGCTGCCCACCCACAATCCACCATCCACCATCTACCATCAACGCTCCCACTCCATGCCCCCATCTACTGCCACATGCCGAAACGTGATTAATGCGTTGGCGTTGCAGCTAAGCTCGCTGTTGCCGGCCATCAACATCAGATACAGATACGAGCAAGAGTACTCGTACAGTCCAAGATATCGGCCAAAAACGTATGGCAGGATGTTCTCAGATAATGCCCTGCAAATTTTCGCACCCAACCCGAAGAGATTTGTAATGTTTTGATTGCCGGGAGAAAGCTGGGAAGGAGATGGGCGGCGCGTGCCGTGGTCCAGGTCTGACCAAGCAATCTTTACGGCGGGCACGTGCCCGCATTTTCGAGCGTAAGGTTTCGCAGATTAATTTCAATTTGCAGCAAGAAGAGCACAACGATGAGGAGGGTGGAGCTTTGCTGCTAATTATGTGTGGAATGTTTTAGATAAACACGAAGCACAATGCAGCAACAGTCAGCGGCACGTCGACGGCTGCATGGACAACCGGCAAAAAGGACAACCGGGCGAAAGGCGGCCACTTGTCAGCTCAACCCGATGCTCTCCCAGATGCGACTCGGGCTATGTTCTGTTGCTCTTGCTGTTCCTGCTGCTGCTGCTGCTGCTGCTGCCTAATCCGTAAGTGTCGTTCTCAAGCACGCAGCAGCGGCAGGCGCTGATAGAGCACACACACACACAGAAACCGGAGCGAATGCGACAACACTGAGGAAAAACAGGAAACCCAATGGCTAGTTTCCAAAACTAGTTTAAAGAATTTTCCATGACTTAAAATATGATTAAAGTTGGACACTAAAAGCCAACATAAAGTTCAGTTTTATTAGCAAGGGTATAACCAACAAAATAATCAAAATAATATGAATAGTCGGGAAATTAGCTTTTCTTCCTTTTTTTTATACTCCGAAAGCTAATTATCTCCGATTTTATCATATTTTATTTTCAGTGTAAGCGAACGAAACCAAACGTAGGACAATGAGCGGTAGAACGTGGACCCACTGCCGGCTGCCCTGCCCTCTCCACCGTACATAATGATGTGGCGCTGTCGACATCGACGTGTCATCGACAACCAGCAACGGTTTTGGGTGGGGTCGTATCTGGCTTTGGCTTTGGTTCGGGCCCGGCCCAGCCCTGTACACGTCTCCATGGCATTTGCTGGCTCTACGACAGGCAGCCAGCCTGTTGGTCAGAGATAACAGCAATTTATTTTCAAGTCATCATTTTAATTATCCCGTTCGCAATGTTGGGAACAGCCTTGCGACTGGGCGCGGTTCGCATTAAACGTGACAACAGAAACACCAGCGAAAAGAGGAGGAAGAACAACTGCGATGGCGCGTTGGTAGCCATTTTGCTCATTAAAATATAATATGTATTTTTTAATTTCAGAGAAATGTTTGCACAAAAATTTTTTTCGAAACAAAGTTGAGAGCCATGCCGCTGTCGCTCCGCCCCCACTTGCCCAGTTTCCCTTTGCTTTTCTCACTGTCTCTCTGTTCTGTGTCTCGTCTACCCCTGTCACGGGTACTCCTTTTTGGAGCACTCGCCTTTTACTCGTACATTTCCATCTTTGTTTCTACGTCTGTCTCTGGCTACAACTCAACCGGAGACCGAAAATCCGAAATCCTTTTCTGTAGCTTTTTTTTTCCATTTTCCATTTTCCCAGCCGAGCCCCAGAACCCCTCTCTTAATCACCAACCAGCAAACCACCTATCCTACCCCAAACACCGAACAACCCCTAGCGAACCCCCTTCATGCGTTTTTATAACCGGAAGCGTTCATGAGAAAGTTTCCGCTTTCATAACCGAATTTTAATTAACTTTCGAAAACCTAATTACAAAGTATTATTATAATGAAAAAGCAGTGCACAAAGCGAGTGGAGCTCCGAGAGAGGCGGGTCCATGGGGGTCGTCCAACCAGTCAGCCAACCGAGCGGATGCTGCCCCTGCAGCAACAGCCACGTTGCCACACTGCCTTCCTGCCTGCGCCATTGCTACGTGCTGCTGTCTTTGACTGCCTCCACGACGAGAGAGGACAGAGGAGATGAGAGACAGAGGAAAATGCCAGATGGGGCTGGCAGTGGAGGCTACCAAAGGCACTACTACTTCCTGTGTATCCATCCGGCATAAGCCGCTCCTGCTCCATGCTGTTCCTGCAGGAAAGGAAAAAAGGGTTGCGCAACAATTTTTCTACTTGGCAGCATCTCCCCTCCTTTCAGCCCCCATACCCCAAGCCCATACCCGGCTGTGTCTCGTTTTAAAATTAAATATTCCATTAGAAAATTACTACAAGATTGTGGTTCTTTATTAGCAGCAGAACAGCAGCCGTAAAACCTCAGGCCCCCGGCCGGCCCAGACTGGATTTACTCGCAACTTTCCTGCCACAATCCGTACTAAACGGAATCCGAACTCAAATTCGGTTGTATGAAATTTTCAACTAAAAATTCAATTTAAAACTTTTGTTTTTGACTAATTTCTATGTTGTGTAAATAATAAAGGATATACATACATATGCATATAACACACATAGGAAATAGGAAATGAAAAGGGAGAGTGCGCCGAGGTCATAGACATGCGATGATTATTCGCATTTCAATGGAACTTTGGCCATCATCAATGTTTAATGACCAACAAAATGTCATGACAATTTTTACTCTCTGCCAATTTCCTAATGGTTTTGTTCTGGAAAGTTGTGAAAAGTTCAACTCGTACTTGTTGTTTGCTGAAAATGGAATTTTAAATCTGTCTTCGACGGAATAATTACATATTGATGGGGTCCCGTGCCACACAAGCGACGGCTGCCGTGTGGGTGGCATTTATGAATAGATATGGGAGGACATGGCTGGTTCTGACTTGTCTGGAGAGCTCAACAAACTCGGAACACCACCGTGCATCCCCTACCCCATGGAGCGTCTTCAGCGCGCATGTCTGGCATCAAGGCATCGATATATAAATTGTCGACAAGTGGCAATGGGTGGTGGTTGGGTGGCGCGGTTGAGTAGGTGACTTGGGTGGGTTGTCGGTTTAGCCAAACCAACCCCAAGACACAGATCTCCCGCACACAGATGGGGTTGTTTGCGGGAGTAAAATGAAGAAACTCCAACAAAATGCTGACAGTCACAATGTCAAGGAAAAATCGAATTTGAAGCGACAACAAACCATGCGCCATTTTGTTGTCGCTCCCAAAGCGAGACCCAGACCCAGACCGAATCCCAAGTCCCAGTCCCAGGAACAGACAAACCTACTCTCCGACCAGGTCCCCAGGTCCCCCTGACGAACAACAAAGCGCTCTCTTTATGGAACAGCGCTGTTCCACCCATGGTAGAGGCTATAAAAAATGTATTAAAGCAAGTTGCCCACATATAAAATTCCGTATACAAGACTTACACACATACCTATATATAAGATATACATACCGTATAGAAATGGTGACCTTCCTGCTTAATTAAAAAAGACAACAGCTTGTTAAACATTCGCGGGGTCTGCAGCGACCAGATAAATGAACTGCTGGTGAAACTGGAATGCCTCTGGCACATAGGCTGTCCGAGAATTCTGGAACCATAGATTCTTTCCAATGAATCACACCGATGATAATCAACTTTGGATAGGTTGTAACTGTCGTTACCTACGCCCCAACAGGGGGGGAAATGCGACTGATCAGGCTGTGGTTGTCGGAATATATAGAGATAAGGTCCACGATAGGGTATCGAATACTCCTCTCTGTATATTACTAGAAAGCAAACAGAATAGAACCAAACAGAACTAAAGAACAGGGATAGGTGGTGACTGGAAATGGGACTGGAACCGGGGGTTGGGTTGGGTTGAGATGGGTTAGTCAGGTCCGGGAAGGGACGGAGCGGGGCAGGGAGTTGGCTGTTTACCTTCTTGTTCCGTTGCAATTTATGAGTGCAGGGCGATAAGAGCGGGGTTTATCAACGGAAAACAGAACAAAACTGGGGAAAACTGCACTCTGCATCTGAGAAGCGATAAGATAGGGATGGCACCTCTCAGAACCACTATCGGTCGTTCAATTTGCTGCATCGATACCCCACAGATAGGAACGGGATACGGAGAAAAGACCAGCCCAATCAATATATAAATGATTGTTGGAGGTCAGTTGTTTAAGTCAACAAAGGCAGGAATTGCTTTGATTGCCTGGGAAATTAAAACTAATTTATAATTTTGTTTTTTTCTTTACTTTTTTCATGTATTTCAAACATTAAAATAGTCGGTTTTGTGGCTGTTTTTTTTTTTTGTGTTTTGCATGATTTATAATAGTATTAATTTTAACTAGCTTTAGAGTTTGGATTTTAATTCTTGCATTGACATTTATTGAATTTCATATTGTGTTTATTTTACAATAAATTTCATTTGTATCAGTGTGTTTTTTTTTCATATTTAAACTATTTGTTTTATCAAGTTTAATTAATTAGCTTAGCTCAATGTAAAAATGTGTTTTTTTCATACTTTACGCACAATATAACTAATATTAAAAATTATTGAATAATAATTGCATTCTCATGTTCTTTTTTCTTTTTGTATGCTTTTACCATTTTTTGTTTTCTGTGTGCTGCCTTCATTATTTATGCTAATTAAATGTTAAATGCTATACAATATTTATATATGTTTAATTTTATTTCATGTGTGTGTGTGGAGTGTGTGGCATAGTTTCATACAATTTGATTAATTCTCAAGTTAGTTTAAAAGTGTTTTTGGGCTGACAGTTGGGTTCTTAGTGTGGTGGAGGGGAGGGGCAGGGTCTCTCTTAGGAATACGTACTATTTATAGATTATTTACAAAATGCCTAAGCCTAACGAATTCGTACAACAACAGAAGACACAGAATGTAAATGAAGACTGATATATACATCTGCACATGTCCGTGGATATATGTAGAATGTATGCATAAAAATGACAATTTTGTTGTATAAATTATATATGTAGTATAAGACGTGACGTTTCCTATGCATGGCCAGATTTCTTGTTGTATTTTGAAGATTCTTTAGGTGTTTCGCTGGACTGCTGAATATATGATGATATAGGGCTTAGTTTTTTGGTTTTTTGATCATTTGCGATTCGAATTCGATTGCCTTTGGGTAAAGGTTTCTTTTAGTATTTGTATTTGTGCTTCTTTTTGGGACATTTTAGTTTAGTTTTAGCGTTTCTGAAAGAACATTACACACGATCCCGCTAAGCTCTCTCTCACTCTCTCTGCTATCCCTACCATCTCTCTCTCTCTCTCTCTCTCTCTCTCTCTGTGTTACATTTAAAATGTTTAAATTTGTAGTTTTAACCGCTTTGATTGTTATTGCTTGTTTCGACAACGAAAACAAATGGCACGGAATTATATTTTTGTATTTAGCAAAAGAACATAAAATGTTAACAAAAGTTCTTAGAGCTCGGGGGGGCAGCCACATTGGATTGGTGCCCCCGATAGCTGCACTTACAACTACATCACTTTTTTCTTGTTTCTTGGATTCCCCAACAGAACGATACACCGGGTATTGGTAAGGAAAGGAAAAGAAAACATAAAGGCAAAGACTAAGACAGTGCGAGCAGTTGGGTTCGATGGGTCTATGTACAAGTGTGTGGGCCCGAACCTGATCTCGAGCCTAACCCTGGCTACTCACGTGCTCAAAGGATGCGCCCAGGTGCTAAAAGCCAGTGGAACTGCACTCGCTAATTGATAGGCCCATGCCCTTGGGTGCCACAAAGCCGCCGCTTGTCCGCGGCCAGGGCTACAGGAGGTTCTGCAGAGCGGCGGCTCCATTGAACGTTAGGCTGTGATTCCAGTTCCGGTAGCTGGCGGCCGCCGCGTACTGCTGATAGTTGTTGTACTGCTGCTGTGCCGCCTGGTGCTGCAGTTGCTCCTCGCTGAGGTCGCTGGTGATGTTCGAGGAGTCCTCCTGCAGCTCCGCCGAGAGCTGACTGTGCAACAGCTGTTGCTGCTGCTGTTGGTGCTGCTGCTGCTGTTGTTGCTGCTGCTGCTGTTGCTGCTGCAGCTTCTGGGTGTAGTTTACCACCGATGCTGAGGCGGTGACCAATGCCGATGCGGAGACTGATCCCGAGCCGGAGCCCGATCCGGAGCCTGAACCCGAACCCGATCCTGACTTGCTGCTGGCCTTGGGTGCTGTTGTTGGTGTGGTATTTGAAGCGGATGTCAGTTGCTGCGCCGCCTGCTGCTGCTGGTGGTGCTGCTGCAAGTGCTGCTGCTGCTGCGAGCGCAGCATCTGCTCCGCGCGCCCTTAAGCTAAGGGGTACTGGTGGTGTCACAAGCTCGTAGTGCCGGCGGGCGCATGGTAGCCGAGGCTCTGATAGTACGAGTCCTGGCCTAAGGCAGCGTGTGAGTTGGTCAGCGGGCTGAGGGCGTTGTAGCCGGCGTACTGGCTCATGTCGTACATCTTGATGTCCGCCTTGGACTCTGTGGGCAGCAGGCGGTTGATGGAGAACGGGTGGCTGGAGGGAGTGTAGCCTGAGGGCTCCTGTTTCAGTGGATGCATCGAGGAATGGTAGTCGCTGATCAGCGACGGGTGGCACCGATTGGCCATCATGGCCGACAGCTCCTCCTGCTGCAGCTGGTGATGCTGGTGGTGATGGTGCGTCGGCACGTGCTGTGGCTGTTGTCCCAAACAGAGCTCCGCGTTGGCATGGAGCATGGCCAGGGCCTCCGCATCCTTGCTGTGCGCCGCACTCAATACATTCACACCGGCCAGGGAGCCTCCTCCCGCTTCCTTGTGGTGCTGGTGGTGCTCCAGTCGGCTGTGGTGATGGTGGTGCATGTGGTGCGAGTCCTCGTGGTCCTTCTTGCCCGGACTGGTCGCCTCCAGGCTGCTGTGCGACGGACTCTTGTGCAGCTGCCGAATGGCCTCCTTCTTCTCGTCCTTGAAACGCTTCTGCCGACGCAAGTAGCATCCGTTCTCGAACATGTTCCCTGAGTCGGGATGCAGCGTCCAGAAGGATCCCTTGCCCGGCTTATCAGGCGTCCTCGGAATCTTCACAAAGCAGTCGTTGAAGCTTAGTGAGTGTCGGATGGAGTTCTGCCAGCGCTGCTGGTTCTGCCTGTAGAAGGGGAAAAGGTCCATAATGAACTGGTAAATCTCCGACAGAGTAAGCATCCGCGTCGGATTATTCTGTATGGCCATGGTAATTAGGGAGATGTAGCTGTACGGCGGCTTGGCGTGCGTGTAGCTTCGTCTGTAAGTCGTCGGCTTGTCCACACGCGATCTGCCCAGGGAGTTGGGAGAGCCCGTCTCCATTTCGCGCGATCCCGGCGGCATGGGACCGTAGTTGCCGCTCAGACCCGCCGCCGACATGCTAGCTGCCGACATGGCCATGCAGCCGCCCATGTTGCCGAGTGGGGAGCCCATGCTCGCATAGCTCATGGAGCTGGGGGTCATGCAGTTGCCGCCCATCGAGTTCATGGCCGCCGCTCCCATGCTGCCGGTCATGCTGGCCACCGCCGCCGAGTCTAAGACGCTGGAGCCGAAGGTGGCCGCCGCCTGGGGAGACACCGAGGACATGCCACCCACCGGGATGCCCATGCTGTTCATTGTGTAGGCGGATCTGGCCAGCGGGCTCATGCTGCCGCTGTTCGATGTGGGGTTCGGGTTGTTGTTGATGCTGGAGGGCGGAGGGCCACTCGGCGGAGGGCCGCCCCCAGAGGACATGCTCACCGGAGCGCCGCTGCTGGGCGGCGGCTCCGCGTAGAGCTTCTGCATGATGTCAATGGTGGTCTGGTGGGGGCTACCCTTCAGAAAGCTGTTCAATAGTTGCGCCGTTATGTTGCCGGCTTTCGGACGCACTGTCCCCAGGAGAAGCGAGGGAAAGTTCAACGCGTGCAAGGGACGCGCACAAAAAACGGAAAAATCAAAATAGTTCTATGGCTGTCGTTCCGAATGTTCCGGATAATCGATCTGCGATCATTCGTTGTGTTATATTAAGTGATGTATTATCTTTTGTTCAATGCACTATCACTGCATTAATTGATGTGATTATTATTTGTGGCATGTTTGATGGTGCACTGCACTGGACACTTGCATCAAAGTACTACTCTCTGTTTTCTGTTGACGGTTGTTTGTTGTTGGTTTTGGGATTTAGATTTTCTTTCTTTGTTTGTGCACTAAACACTTTGATTAATTTATTTGTGTGGCCCGCCTGATGCCTTAAGCAAATTTGGCAATAATATAACGTGGCAAATATGGCTCTATTTTTTTGTTATAATTCTCTTTTTTGTCCGCTGCTCTGAGCCCTGCGCCGCGCCGCAACAAAAAACCGACGCACGAACGTGAATTGTTAGCTGGCTTTTGGCCACTGAAGCTGTGGATGAGGCTGAGAACTGCTGGTGGCTGGTGGCTGTAGCTGTATCTAGAGATGGAGCTGTAGCTGTAGCTGTAGCTGTGGCTCTAGCTGATGCTGAGGTTGAGTCTGCTGCTGCCGCTGTTGCTGGTCCGCTCGAGTGTCTCTTTGGCTTGAGCTCTTGAATGTGACTGTTTGCAGAGGGGAACGCTTGTCTACTATTTGGCTTGCGCTTGCTGCCAACAAATATTGTTCGAGCCGCGCTCAAGTGCCGATGCCGATGCCAGCGTCGACGTCGACAGCAGTGGCTGTGGCAGCAACAACTCTGACTCGTTCTCACACATGGCCCAGAGGCCAGCACACACACACAGATGCACCCCGATACAACTACAACTACAACCACCGTCGACTGCTGAGGTTAGGCCTTGCCAATGACAGGCTCTCGCTCTCTTACGCACACTCTGGGAGCGGCGCAAGCGCATTGGCCGGAACGCGGCTCTTGGATCAACAGAGCAGCAGCGGACCAGACGCGGTTGCCACGACAACTGATACTAGTCGGACGGGGGCGTGGCCAAAGTAAGCAGCGAAAGAGCGAGCAACGCCCTCTCATGCGATATGGAGCAGCTGCATCGCACTCACACTCGCACACATAGATACACACAGATAGTGCCTAATGCCAGGGCCTGAGCGACGCCATGTTACAGTTAACGATTTTCCCTAATGCGATCAATAATCGCTCGCTCCCGCTTCCACTCGCACGCTCGTCCGCAAAAACCAAGAAGAACTGAAAAAGTCTGCAACTCCAACTCCGATGGAGACGGGGGTCTGCTGCTCCGAGCGCAATTCCGTCTGGGGTTTGGTTGAGAGACTCGACTCTCCTACTACATCGACTGGGGACTGTGCCGCCTCTGAGAACTGCGACACGGGCATATGACGCTCTATGTTTTGCCAGAGAACAAAAAACAGAACGCCTTTTGCCTCCCAAAGAAGACATTAATAATATATATCTATATGTGTATGCGTGGTGTGTGTGTGTGCCTAGTGTTGTTTTTTTTTTTTGCTCATTCGTTCGTTTTTTAGACCCTCTGCACATTTGAGGTTAAGGTATGCCAATGTCACTCTCATTCATTCTCATTCACATTCGTGGCATGGCATTCGAGGCATCGCGAGCGGCACCAACAGCAGCAGAAGCATCAACAGCAGAGCGCATCTTTCCTTTTTGGCAAGTCATTGCGAAAGTGACCCAGTTCTGGCCTCATTCCCAGACCCATCCTCCAACGGATGTCTACTACCTGAAGATGGAAACTGGACTCTGGACCATTCATTGATGCAAATAAAGAGCGCGTGGATGTGAATGTGGATGTGGAATACTTCCTGGTAGACAGGCTAGAGAGCTCTTCTGTTTTATGGCCGCGGATAAAACGCATTTTAATTTCGGTTATAAAGAAGATTCGGAACGGGTTCCACACTACACCGTACACCGCTTGACGCCTTCCATTGTGCATTCCGCTCTTAACCCTTTCACTTAGCCAAAGATGCCAGTGTCTGAACTTGTGTGTGTATCTGTGTGATGTGTGGGTGTATTCGAGTGTTCATGTGTGTGTGTGTGCGAGGCTCGTTATTGCAGCCATAAACGAATTGTTTGCTTCATTTCTCAATGAAACGCTGCACTCAATTAAGATCTACCTGAAGATACTGTAATTTGCGGAAATTCCTCATTTCCCATATTGTCACGAACAATGTTCTATTCAATGTAGTTTTTCTAATAGTCTAAATTTAGGCGCTGTATTTGGATATCGTTCCCCCATTACGGTATTCAATGAGGGACCCTTATGTTGGTGGTTCCCAAACCATCACATAGATAATGTGGAATTATTTGATATTTCGCTCTTCGTTCTATTAATATGTCAACCAAATATTGACCCAAGCAATCATATTTCCGGAAGTTCCAAAACACCCTATTTACATATGGGCCATTCCTATGAGTCATAATAATTTTCAAAGATATGTATTTTTTTCCGTATTTCCGTTTTTTGGAAAGGATTTCATTATACTCGTATGGAGACATTGACATTAACAGGATGGTTATTAATCATTAAACTATAGATACCTATCTACAAATGTACATATTTATCTATGTTCATAAATATATGTATGTACATATAGATTAATTATGATCTCGTTAATATCAATATACAGCTGTGTACATATTTATAACTCGCCTTTATATAATATATGTACATACATATAGTCTAATTTTTTTCACTCACCGAAACATTCCTTAATGATTTCCATGAAAATATTGGCTTAAGGCATATTTACATATTTATGTACATATGGAAGGTCATACATCTACATAATCGGGTCTAAATCTGTTTATATGCACAGGCAACAGAGCAGTCCAACATCTATATCTCATCTTGACATTATCATTAAACATCAAACATCTTGGCATGGACTTTACTTACATACATATATGAATATCTTTATGTGCACTTCTAATCACCGTAATGTGCTTATATGTTATATATTTTTATTGTATTTCACAGGCCATTCAAGTGGCTCTGGCTCATTAATGATTGCTTGTGTGTTTTGTGTGCTATAGAGTGGCAGAAGCGCATCACGCTTTTATAATAATATATATCCGTAGAGTACACTTTTTTGGCGTAGACTCTTGGCAAATACTCGTAGTAATGGCAGCAGTCCAAAAATGTACATAAATGTGTACGTACGCGTATTTATTTACCTTTTAGTCATTTATCTATTTATTTATTTACTTTAAAAGCGCGCCACTGTTGGTTGTATGGGGGTTCCATTCAGTTTGGTTTCACTAGGGTAGGATTGGGTTTTGCAACGACACGATTTTATACAGTGTGGGTTCGGCTGCACTCGGATGGCAAATCGGGTCTAAGCCCTGCTCAAACTTTTTAATTAGTTCCAATTGTTGGGGCGCACACGTCCCCCAGCATCCCTTCAGTGCATACTTGCGTAAAATATTGACTTTACTACTTTTTTCACAGCGATGTTTTGATTTTGTTGTTGATATTACTTTAAAATGCTGCGCTTTTTGTTTGTTTTAAGCATTTCTGTGACGCATGCGCCATGTGGCAATGACTCTACAGAGACCCATACATAAATATATTTATATCTACAAAAAGCATTTGACCAACATTTCTCAGATAGATGACGTCTGCTGTCTGACTGTCGCTTGGCATGTATCCGTATCTGTTTCGGTTTCTGTATCTGTATTTTTATTGTTATTGTTATTATTTGTGATTGTTGATTTATTTGTTTGTTCAATATTTTCACACAAATTAAAATACTTTGCCCACTCGTTGCCCTGTTCGCATGTATGTTCGTACAAATCGGAATCAGCGGACAGCCGACAGTGGGCATCAATTTCGGTTAAATTGTTATCTTTCTGCTCGTTTTTTTTTGGCTTAGACCAATTATCGATGCTCATTAGTGATTATTTAATCATTTGCATCAACAACAGAAGATCGCAACATTCTAATATATCGCTTAAACAAATCTCCCCAGATCATGCGAATTCTGAAATTTGCGTTCGGCACTTTGCATGTACATAAATCGAAGGCACGTGCCTTCATTTGGAGGCTGGTTCTCGTGTCTTTGGTGAGTCCTTTAGCTCGAGAGAAATATTCTTGTACAGTTTCCCATGTTCCAGTTGAGTAATACTTACTCACAACACCTTCTATATGGGCCAGCACAATTTAGCTAAATTTGAAATATTTGTTCGGTTCTTTTTAACAAATTAGTGATTAATTTATTGCAGAATTCTCATGAAATCTTAATGGATTCACTCTTAAGTGAAGTTATCCAACCTATGGTACATATTTTGTATATTTTAGCAGTTGTCTGAATGGTTGTGTATCTTCAGTGGGTAGCTGTTTTATGCGTCTCTGTGTTGCATGTGCCGTAATGAGCGTAACCATAAAAGCGTCTTTTGTTTTACGACCGCATTGCGCGCGTGTTTGCCGTAGACAACAATACAGAACAACAATGCCAATTTTATGGCTGCCCCTGCCACGCAGACAATGCCCCGGCGAACCGCAGCCCAGCATCCGCAGATACGATGCTCGCCGCACAGATACAGATACGCACACAGCCGGCCAAAAGGTGACACCGAAACTAGAGCAGTTTCCAAAGGGTAAAGGAGAGCGTACGGGATGCCGCGGTCTTGCATTAATTAGAGCGCGTTGGACAGAGGGCAGCGGCATGGAAGGGTGGCGGCGGTGGCGGACAGGGATCCGATTACTTTCTTCGGAGCCATAAAACGGTGCTCTGGATTTCTGTCATGGGATGCTGGACTGGCGGCTCTTATCTAAATTAGGATGTGGCTTGTTTGCGCCTGTGTCTACTCATCGCCTGCATTATTTGCGTAGGTGTTTCATTTCCGTTCCACAATCTATCCGCAGAATGTTTTGCCGGCGTACTCATCGTACCTTTGCCCCTGAACTCATCTCGACACCGAGAATTTCCTTTTTCTTACTTTCACATGTGATTTTCTTTGTTTTCTTATCAGTTTTGGCGCGTCAACCGTCGCCGTCGACGTCGCCATGATTCACATTTCCCTTGCCGCCTCGTCTGTTTGCTTAAAAAACTGCACTTTTACAAGGGCCAAGCCAAGGCAAGCCAAGACTTTCGGTGCTGCAGCAGTGACGCCCTTGGGTCGCCTTCGATGCGGTTCCCTCCGGTGAAATTTGGCGCATTTCGGGGTGCGTGCCTTATCGGGGTCGGTTCCACGACATTAGATACCGCATAAATCACAGCCTAGTCGCGGTTTTTTGCTTGATTATTGCCACTTTTTTATCTTTTTCGCTGCGGTTGGCTATAAAGTCTCTGGCTTTTATCTATGTGCAAACACGCGAAAGCAATGATATTAAGACACTGGCGACCTTATTTCCTCTGTCTCTGGCCCACAGGAAAACAACTAGTTTTATTAGTTTTAATAAAAAGAAGTTACGGCCAGTTTGGGGAAACGTAACAATAAGGAAATTAAATATAGAACGGACAAGAATTGAATGAAATATAAATATTTACTAGGAAAATTGTTTCACATGAAAGTAACAGAAAAATGCAAAATTAGGTTGAAAACAATTTGAAGAAATAAATAAACAATAAATAGAAGTTTCATGCAATATGCGAAACAATTCTCTACAACATTTGAGTCTTAGTTTGTTTT